CGACACGTCCCGTGACCACGGGTTACTTCTGAACATCAAAGCTCGCAGCCACTGAGTCAGTACTTCTCTGCGACCTGCAACATGTCCTGCTACAGTAGAATGGTTCTGAACTTCAGAGCTCGTGACCATGGAGTGACCTCACGACCGCATAGATTTACTTTGTCGCGACCCGCAGAGACCTTGCTGCTGCGGAGTCTGCGTTTAATCCGATATTGGAGCAGCAATAGGTCATTCTTTTTCCTTGGATAGGCCCGATATTGGATTGTTATCGGGGGCCCCGATAGCAGTAGAAAATGTTGTCATGCTTTTATCGGAAGGGCCAATAGCAACAAAAGTTTGCTCTGTCTTGCCTTCTTCTTCATTCTCTCCGTCGCTTAGATCATCATTCAGCTCAGAAATATGATTTTCCAGCCCCTTGAACTCCATCTCACTGCTCAGCCCAAGGTCTCCAACATCATCTTGGCTCGGTTCAATTTGAGATGATAGCCGACTCTTGGCTCGAGCATCCAATTTGCTCATTACATCACCAATATTTTTGCTAATAGCCATCAAATAATTTTGACACTGCACAAAGAACTTCACCAATGATGGACTAGGCTCTTGTTTACGCTAAGATTCTAAAAAATAATGCGAGCCTCTATATTGAAATTGAGGTCCATCATGCTTATAAGTTTGCTCATACGACCGAGAACATTGTAGTTTTCATAGAACTAATTTCCACGGTCGCTCCAATCGTAATGGTTTGCATCAAAATTTGAATACGCCCATTCGTCTCGTCGATACTAACCTCTCTCGGTAGCTCTGCGTGCACCATACCTATCGAACAAAAACTGACAATCATCGGTGACTTGTGGTATGACATAAACGACATGGTCTCCTTAAAGCCTGACGAACACTCTCAATGGTTCCTTGAATCATAGCCGACATCCTAGCCTCACATCAACGCACCATGTGTCTCTTGTTTTTCTCCTTGCATAATATGAGCAGTAATCACAACTTCGGGCCCCAAGATGCATCTATTTATACGGATACCGCTTGAAAAAGAAAATAAAAAGATAATAGGAGGATTAAAAGAGTTAAAGAAAAATAAAATCAAAACTAATCTAATTACCTAATTCAATTAACACTTGAAAAACACAACTCAATTGCACCACTCCCCGACAACGGAGCCAAAATTTGACTGTGTGTGAATCTATTTCTGACAATAAAATTAATCAATTTCTTTTATCCTGCAAGACCGGAAATTAGTAGTAGCGGTGGGATTACAAACTATTGAGAATAAACTGTATGACTACCCCGAGGGTTATGAAGGCGAGACCGATCTTCTATCGATCATAAGTGGTAGGACAAAGCACTTGAAAAAGCTCTTCTCCAAAGAAACTTGGAGAAGAAACTCATACTCCCGACCACACCATTTGCGGTCGAGCCACTCTTCAAGGTTGTGCCTGAAGGAGGTCCCACTATACAGGCCGTCCATGTCGACCAAACTGCAGCTACCTCTGAGCCCAACACCAGTGAAACAACTCCTGATGTTACTCCTATTCTCGAGCAATCTGCTGAGGGAGCAACTTAAGCAACCATAGTCACTGAGGAGTCGACTCCTCCTGAGTAGTCTATTTTAAGTTGTTGTAATTATATAAAGTACTTTGAAAATTAGTATTGTATTTTGGTCGCAATGAAGTTCAGTTTTCCCCCTTTTATACTTATGTTATTTCTACTTTATTTTTCTTCCCTCGATGTTACTTTGCATCTTTTGTAGGTTGATATAATCAATCTCTTATCGTGATAACTTCAATCTAGGACTGAGGCCTCCGACGAGCACAAATTCTATACTTTTAACATTTTTCACAAACCAAATTATAATCCTTCTTAAGATGATCGTGACCTTCCTCTGAGGTCTAGTCTTCTTCTCCATACTTAGAAAAATTATAATATTTAAAACACTATGAAACCTAGTACACCTTATTAACTCGACCTGCCAATGAGGTCTAGGAAAAATCTGATATTCTCACTCAATAAATTTCACAGATGTAAGTGCGTATGCTATCAAGGCTTAAACTAAACTCACTTGACCTGTCTCTAAGGTCTATATAAGTCTCTGATTCATACATAGGAAACATTGTAATTGACGTCTTCGATTCAAAGCATCTTCAGTTAAGTCGACTTGCCAGTGATGCTAATAGATTCATTCTAGACTTAACAATATTATTTTAGAAACTTTTCATATTTAGTAAATTCAACAGTTTATTGCAAGTGTAAGCAATGCTAGTACAACTTCATTCAATCGATCTACCACTTAGGCTTTTAAAAGTTCTTCGATGTGTGCTTAGTAAATAAAATGCAATTGTCATATAAGCTTCTACACTTGGCCGGCCTGCCTCTGAGGGTGTTCCAATAAGAAATAGTCATGACGAATTTTTCACCATCAAGGCTACAACACTTGCCCGACCTACCTTAGATGTTGTTAAAAAAAGTGACCGGCTAGCTTGAAAGTCTTAGTCATGCCGGAATTTTGCTATCAAGGCTCCAACACTTTCCCGATCTACCTCTATGATCATATAAACAAACGACCAGCCAGCTCAAAAGCCTTAGTCATGCCGAATTTTTTTTCCATCAAAGCTTCAACACTTGCCCGAACTACCCCTGTGGTCGTTCAAACAAGCGATCGGTCATCTCAAAAGCCTTAGTCATGTTGAAATTTTTTCATCTGGGCTCCAATTCGCCATAAGGTTGTCCCTCCACTGAGGTCGACCAATTTGCTCTGAGCATCTTCAATATTTTAACCAAAATAACAAATATTGAAGAGATAAAAATTTTCATTTATCACAAAAAACACAATTATTACAGAATACAAAAAATCGAGCATAATATTTTTTTCCGATTCATCTCATAACAGAATCTATGTAACAACCTCCCTTGGCCATTTCTAAAATTATAGGCACCTCATGCATGCACTCGATCACCAATATATGGACCTTCCCAATTTGGCTCGAGCTTGCCAATGTGTTTGACAACATAGACCCATTTCCAAACCAAATCTCCGACTGGAACCTCCAAATTTTAACCTTCTTGTCATGAGAATTTGCATCCTTTGATTTTTTGTTGCCACCAGGATGGCTGCTTGCTCTCTCAGCTCATCGATTATATCAAGGGCTGCTCGGGCTAACTCCTTATTTTGCTCCTTCTCATAAGTTAGTGTTCTTTATGAATTTAACTCGACCTCCACTGTTATCAGCACCTCCATCCCATATGTAAGACTAAATGGGATTTTCCTTGTGGTCGACCTCGTGATCATGCAGTATGCCCAAAAGACAGACGTCAACTCGTCCACCCATGCATATGAGGCCCGTTCCAACCTCGTTTTTAGGTCGCTCAACATCATCCTGTTTGTGACCTCCACGATGCCATTAGTTTGCGGGTGAAATAATGAGTCCAAATGGTCGATTTTTATATCTTCGCACCAAGTTTATACTCTCCGACCATTGAATTGAGTTGCATTGTTCAAGATCAACACCTTGAGACTTCCAAACAAACAACAAATGTTGTTGTATAAAGATGTATAGCTTTGTTCTCTGTGATCCAAGCTAAAGGCTCAGTCTCCACCCACTCAGTAAAATATTCCATTGCAATGATCAATAATTTTCTTTGCCCCAACCCTTGAGATGATGGTCGCTCTAGGTTGATTCGCCATCAGGTGAAGGGAACCGGTGCGCTCATCGCCGTATCTCTATGATTGACTGATGTAAAACAGGGTCATGCTTCTAACATTGAATGCACTCCTTTTACCATCTTCACAACATCAGCTAGCATGGTAAGCCAAAAGTATCTTGTTTTCAACACTTTTCTAATCAATGACCTACTTTTACTGTGGTCAATGCAACATCCCTCGTTCATCTCTTTACGTATGTGTCAACCTTCTCATTTTTAATGCACCGCAGGTGTGGCCCTGTGTACAACTTCTTGAAAAATATTTTCTTTTGCAGAAAAAATCTTTTAATCTATTTAATATTTTCTTCCTTGAGCTCATTTAGTATAGGGGCTTGCCAGTCTTCGACCTCACACACCTCGGCCACCTCAACTACACTCTTTTTCTTGTTTAACAATATTACATTTTTTTCTCTTGCAGTCCACCAAATTTTGAGCTATCTTGGACAGTAGATCAACTCGTCCATTCTCTCCTTGAGGTATTTGTATCACCTCGAACAAGCTAAAACCCTTAGCCAAACTCTGAACCTCCTCGACATACCTTTTTAGTTTTTCATATTTTATCTCTAATCCACCTTGCAGTTGCCCGACCACAATCTGTGAGTCGGAATGGATCTACACATATCGAGCTCCTCCTGCTACCACCAAATGTAATCATTTTAACAAAGATTCATACTTTGCCTCGTTATTAGAACTCTAAATCCCAACTTGGTTGCGAACTCTAAATTATCCCCTGCAGAAGAGATCAAGATAACCCCTAAGCCTGCACCTCCTTTCGAATTCAATCCATCTACAAAGACCTGCCATAGTCCATTGACCTCAACTCCCGTGCCTTCTTGAATAAAATCCGCTAGAACCTGAGCCTAGATAGCTCTCCGAGGCTCATACTTAATAGAGTATTCACTTAACTCGACTACCCATTTGACCATTCCACCTGATACTACAGGTTGACCCAAAGTTTCTCCTAGAGGTAGATTAGTTAGACCATACGCCTTATGAGTTAAGAAATATGGTCTCAATTTCCGCACCGTTGGCCAAAGCTAAAACACTTTTCTCGACCTCCGAGTAATTTAATTTAGCACCTTGCATCACTCTGCTCACATAGTAGATTGGTAAGTGCATGCTTTTGAGTATTGTGTTTTCAATAAGTAATTGATATCTTATCATTTCATTGCATAATGTCACTTCAACAATATTATCTCACACTCTTATATTGTATTAATATTTACAATTAAATTACTAAACAGTGCTTTCTTTGTTTTTAATTGTTAACTTTAATTAAATGCAAAAAATATTTATAAAAATAATCATTTAATTTTATTATAATTGTACATGTTAATAAAAATATAAATATAATTTTAGATATAAATAAATTTTTTTAAAAATTAAAATTAATATTGACTACAAGTATTTTAAAAATTGGACCAAACTAAATATCGGATCTAGAATCGATCAACTAAACTATACGATTCAATGGAACGAACCATTGTCCAACGAATCAGTCAGAATCAGTTGATTGGACCAGTCAATTGTTTGTTAAATAAATTAGAAAATATATATTTTTCATAAAATAAAAATAAATTTAAATTTATTCTATGTATATATTAAATATTATACTAAAAAATAAAATGGTGGCGTACATTGGTGGATAACTTTTTTTGGAGATTTTTTTACCATTGTTCACGAGTTTTAATTTTTGTATTTCGTCTCAAAACTAAAGTTCTACTATCAAAGTTTATTATATATTAAAAATGGTGGTATATTATGGTGAAAGAAAGTTGTTTTCTTTTTGGGGATTTTTATACCATTATTTACGAGTTTATTAATTTTTGTATTTTCCCTTGTAAAGCTGTACACAAGCTCTGGTCGTTTTTTAAGTTTTTTTCTTCCCAAACTTAAATTTTTACTATCAAAATTTGCTATACATAACATGGCAGTGTACTACGCTGAAAGAAAGTTTTTAAGGGATTTTTTATCATTATTTACAATTTTTTTTTACATTTTCTTATATATAGTTTTATCCGAGCTTTTAGTTGTTATTTAGTCTCAAAACTAAATTTTTACTATCAAAGTTTATTATATACTTACAGCGAGATCAAAATTGGAACAAAAACACATAAATAATCATTTTTGTAATTTTCGAGACCAAATTTATAACACGGTCAATCATGTAAATTTGAATTTATAATTTTCTCCATTTTCAAATTATCAACTAACGTTCGACGGTTCCGTTAATTTTGACGGAGTTGGAACCAAATCGACAACAAAAATTGAAAAATTGACTGAATTTGCAATCTCACCAATTTTTCAAACCAATTTTATAATTTCCTAAAAAACGTTTGTCAAAAGTAGGGTTTTTAAAGAAAACAGAAATCACCGTCGCACAGAAGAAACTCCGAGTGGAAGGTGAGCATGGCGGGGAAAGGGCAAAAACGAAGGGAAAAGAACTACAGAGCGGCTCATGGCGGAGGCAACGCTAGACTTCCGCCCCCACCTGATCCCTCCTCACTCGACGCCGTCCCATCTAAGCTTCGCAAACTTATGTCTCTCACAGGTTGCCGTCCTATCCTCTTTAACTCGTGCTCATTGCCATTTTTATGGGTTAAAGGGCTTCGGGCCTGTTTACATCTTTTAATTATTGTTTCAGGAGATGGGAGACAACCGTTTAATCGAGCAAAGGGAAATACAGTATATGGTGCCGATAAGGTACTAAAAATGTGCGCGTTTAGTCGTTTGCCTTCTGCTGAAAGTAAATGTGCATATGCTGTCTTGTTTTTATGCCAATTTGGGGACTTAAAGTTGGTTTCTTCCAGCAATTTCGATGATGTTGTCTTCTTTTTTGTTTTTCTTAATCCTTCTAATTATCTAATGAGTGTTTTAACAAAGGAAGGATACATTTAAATACGGGATGGGTATTATCTGTTGGAAAATTGTACTTGGAATTCTATTCAGGTGTTTGAATTAGTGAATTAAAAGACTGAATCTTTAATCAAACAGAAACTTGCTTGCATGAAGTGTCTGTTTGAATTGATTGATGTTCAGCTGGGAAATGTGTGGTCTGTGGATTTTGAGGATTTTGATTTACAACTAACAATTGATTATATCTTACCCTTATAATTTGTGTGCAATCTTTTCATATTCACATCTGCAATTTTCGAACATCATCTTCAGGGGATTAATTCAGGGGAAGGGACTGAATCCAGGAATCCTGGAATGAAGAGAAAAAGAAGTAATTCAAATTCGAATGCCACACAATCAGAAAAACAGGGTGAATTTCCCCAAATTAGCGAGAGTGACAAGAAGAAGAAAAAGAAGAGGAAAATTCAAAAAGCAGACGACCTACGGTTTGAGGCTGCTGACAAACAAGCTGTTGTGGGTTCTCGTAGAAAAGAGCGTAAAAAGCAGTAAGTTGAATCCCACGAGTCTTATGGCATGAAGTGAAGTTATGCTTTCCAGGCTGTTTATGATATTTTCATCCAAAGCTAGGAAACAAGAGAGAGTATACAGCAGAGCTTAAAACATCTTATAAGCTTCAACAATCAACATCTTGTATGATGTTTATGGATCCTGTTAGATGTTAGCTTATTTGGGAATAAGTTGTTGAAGTGCCTGGGAGTATAGGATAATATGGTACTGAATAGGTTATTGATCAAATTTCGTGAGTGCAAAATCAGTGGAATTTGGTGAAGAGCTATTTTTTCTGAAAATATAGGTTTAGAATCTTATATAATTATATTTTTTTGCATGTTTTGAAAATGTGAAGCTCCTAGACTTGGTAGACTACTTATAAAATCTTTTTAAGAGCTTGTAGACTCAGCAAAACACCCTCTTAATCACATCCATTCCATTTCTTCACATAATTGGTGGTAATTTACGTAGAGTGGTCAGGTGATTTTGTTTAATGCTTGCAGACACTTGGAAGCAAAAAAGAAAAAACACAAACAATCCAAATCCGACGAGGACATTGAATTTCCCGGCCGTGAAGAGATAAAATTTGGAGACATAGTTCAAGCACCCCCTAAGTTACTTGCCGTCCCTAAGGTTCTTCATTTATATTCCTTTGTCGTGATATTCATATGCTCAGATATTTTTGTCACTGCCTGCATTTTTCTTTTGTAATATTTTTTTTTATTTTTTATTTTAATTATTTTTTTATTTTTTTTCTCTTTGTTGATGAAGGCATTTAAGACGGCCCAAGATGCTTCGAAAGAGAGGCTACGCCTACAAGCGGTAGAAGCCTACAGGCAACGAAAAAGCTGGGCATCAAGGCCTGGAGTTACGCTCACTCAGCCTGAGAATACGGCATCTTTTTAGTGGGGCCACATATGGAAAGATTAGTTTCCTCTTATCATCTGCACGAACACAATATGAGCTTTACGTATGTGATTGCATACGGTCGATGATACATTGGGAAATTCTTATGTTAGCTATGCGGTGAGATGTTGTGGACATGTTATCATCTGTATGTCTTCTTGGTCCATTGTCCTTGCAAGATTGAAAGATTGTTGACAATTGACCACCCTAATATTCCAAAGCAAGTTAGGTGATTGACTATATTGCGCTTTTT